AGAGTGCCGTGCTCACCATTTTTCTCTTGAAAGTCAGGAATAAGTGTACTGGTGCGGTCTTGACAGGTTTTATTTTCAGAGGAGCTAATAAATCATGGCTGCAGTTGAAGTCAGTACGCAGCTGTAGGTGTACACTGCTACTAGCTTTGGTAAGTTGCCTTTTGGGGATCACACAAACACGTGCTTAGTAGAAACACATGCATTTGTCATACTGAAGAAAGCCCAGTTTTCAGCACTAGGGCATACAATTACATTGCACAATATTATTGGGAATAGTTTTTTACCTACTTCCCTACTTTGATAAAAAAATTGCAAGCTACAAAAAGCTGTGCTGATGCCCCTAGAAGAAGGAAGATAACCATCTTGTCCCAGCTGCAAAATCTGGAACAAAAGGATGCTCGTAGGATGCCTTTAGCCTCCCTGTACAGCAGGCGGGTGCTGCCCCACAACAACAAGGTAACAGCACATCCATGTGCTGCACTGCCATCTAGCCCGTGTACGAAGTCGCAGAGAGCGCGGCAGATTTCACTACGAGGGTATTAACAACCCAGACTTTCAACCTGTGGTCAAAAGAGCTCTGCAGCATAAGAACAACTTCTAAGGGGTCCATGAAAGGTCAGGCAGGAAAGCTGGCCTGTTGTCCACAGGCTTAAATTCACTAGGTAACAAGCAGCACCACCACTAGAAAACATTCAGGGGTTGGCAACTGGAGAAGGTGGAAAAATCACTGATTTAGACAGGGCAAATAACAGCTCCACTTCTATGCCAAAACTTAAACAACAAAAGTGCTGTGGAAGAGGACAGGGATGCACTCACCATGATGAAAGCTGTCTGCCAGGACAGATGATGTCAAATTAGCCACTTCTATAGTCTGCGTTGGCCCAGAAAATATGACCTGTTTTCCCTAGCCCCTTGGACACCTTTGAACTCCTTTGGTGTTGCTTCCCAGTTAATGAAGCTATCTGGACAGCACCTTTCCCCTCCTCACATTTTGTACATTTTTAAACGAGAGCCACGTGGACAATTTGACTCTTTAGGAGACTTGCATTCAAGAAGTATGAGAAAAAACTGAACCTGAGAAAAAACTTCTTCACTGTGAGGGTGACAGAGCATTGGAACAGGTTGCCCAGAGAGGTGGTGGAGTCTCCTTCGCTGGAGATATTCAAAAGACGTCTGGACGTGATCCTGGGCAATATGCTCTAGGTGACCCTGCTTGAGCAGGGAGGTTGGACTAGATGATCTCCAGAGGTCCCTTCCAACCTAAACGATTCTGTGATTCTGTGAAGTACAGATTTCTGGCCCCATCAGCATTAACATGCTCTTTGCAGAGGCAGGTCCGTGACTCCAGGCCTGCTGTAACAGGCACTCATCCTTCAGGCTGCGGAAGGAATTCAAGTTGCTAGCCCATCTCAAAATGCCATGGGGTGGCAACAAAATGAACACATTGCGATAAAAGCATTGTTACCTCTTTGCGTAGGTCCTGCTTTGAGTCTTTGTCATCCAACTGCCAAACTCGGGGCCACCCATCATCTATTCCTGTCTTGTGCCAACTAATAACAGCCCACCCCAAGGCTGTAAGAAGCACGTGTAAGATGAGCAGGGACATCAAGAGGAGGAGCTGCACCCCGAGCTGAGAGGTTGTACCTCCCAGGTGAGAAGGATAAGCTTGATGGAGGTGGTTTTCATAATCCAATCAAGAACTGTTTGCAAGTTGCCTATCACAGCTGTAGCCAATTCTGAACCAAGACTAGTGCATCTTGTGCTCAATACTGGGAGTAACGGGGGCAGCAGCTGGAAGGTTGGCATCATAGCCACACTGCCATGGCAGGTACAAGGATGTCACGTACATTTTGGCAGTCGAGGCAAGGCTTCCTGGTGAAGATTTCCCAGGCGCTAGCATTTCCAGAGACTCCTTCAGGAAAAACCATCACTTGGCAATGCCACACTCAGCAACAGAGACTAGGAAAATGTCTCACTTTCATTCCAAAGCACCTGCAGGCTTGGGGCTACCCAGCTAGTGATTCACATCCAGTCTTTCTACTTAAAAAAAAAAAAAAAAGTTAATCACACTTTTCCAAAAGTGGCATTTTTATAAATATCCAAAACAGATGCTTCATCTGTTCTGTAGCAGTGTCATCTAGCTTATGTAAGTGGGCAGCTTTGTCAGCATGAGAAATTTCTGAATGATGATGCTTGGGGCCTGTATCATTTGCATTACCCCCTGCCCTAGACTATATGGATTTGAGTTTTGCTACATTTTTGAGTTTACTTTGGTTGAAATGCAAAGCGATGTGAATTGTTTTCAGTGACATGCCTAGGTCTCTGTTTAGAAAGGGGCAAAGTGATCATCTGTGAAATACCCAGGGAACAGTAGGAGCAGACAGCTTATTCTCACAATTAAGTGGCCCTTTCCACAGGAGAGAGAAAAATCATTTCTACTGCTCAAAGCAGCCAGCTAAGGCTTAATGAATACCCACAAGCCAGAATAAACTTAATAAGCCTGAACTGATGAAGATAAAGATAATCGCCGAAGAGAAAGGCTCCACTCCCACAGTTGGGTCCAGCACATCCCCTTGGGTTTTGCTTTCTTCTGTTTGTCTTGTCGGACTCCTAGTAGGTTTCCTTTTGTCATTTTATCCTTCTGGCAGGTAGGACAGGAAGTCATGGTGCTGCTGAGAAGGATCTTCCTAGGCACTGAGGAGGACAATGCTTGTGGGAGAAAGTTGACAAACCTTTGGCGCAGGAGGGCGACTATCTCAAGGAAGCAAACAGTAGTTTGTTATGTCATTTTTCTTAGGGTTGAATTTTCCTTGAATGCTTGGATTGGAATAAACTCCTGAAAGAAGCTGGAAGTGATGTTTGAAGAGTGATGTTTGCATCATCACTATTAGTAGTCATTCTACATGTCAACATTTTGTCTTGTCCCATATAAACTTTCCTACAAAACATCAATTTTACATGTTTTCATGCATGATTCCCTCACTCTGG